GGGAAGTCTCCCCCAAAAGTCGAGTTGGTTTTGGTGCCTGGTCAGTTTGTTGTTCTGTGTCTTCTCTCTGAAGAAGCCGAGGCCAGGGTTGGGGGTTCTCAGATCCTACAGTGGACACACTTCATTTGGGAATCTTGTGAAAATGCAGGTTTCTAACCCTACAAGGGAAGGAGAGAACTTACTTTATCCAGATCTGAACTTACTGGGATGGTTTATGTTCTGAGTGTGGACTCCAGACTGGATGGTCGTGGCTCCAGGGTGTTAGTCTCAGGGAACATGCCCCTACTGGCCTGCCGTCAGAGTGGAAAGGGCAGCCTGGAATACTCAGCACTGTCCCTGGAAATTGACAAGATAATTGGGACAAAGCTGCATCACACACGGGGCCACTTTTTATTTTCTCAAAATGTGCCAGTTATAAGCAGAGTGAAGAGGAGGAAGAAAGTATTGTATTTTTTCTATACAAAAACACTCTCCAGGAGCAGAGTGAAAAGTCTAGTTCTAAGAAGGGCTACTGGCTGTGGTGGTGGGGCAATAATAGGATTTGGAGGGCTAGCATAGGAGATGGAGGAGAACTTTGCCTGGCTTTTTTTTTTTTTTTTTGCTATAGGGTGCATATGCTCACTGGAGAGAGACATAAAGAGGAAAACATCTCTTGGGGGAATGGCCACACTATAATCCCTTCTCCTTCATTCTCCTCTTGGGATTTCAGGCCCACACATACATGCCTGGTGTGTTTCCCAAGCTGCTGGGTCTAGGACTTGAACCATGCAGTTGGCCATGTGGGATCCAGCTGCCTTAACCACATGCCAACAGCATGTCTGGGACATACATATTGTTGATGTGTCAGGATAGTGCATGATGGTGTATTTCTTTTGCAATATCAATACTAGTAAGAGGATGAAGAAGAAGAGGAATAAATGAGATCACTCTGGAGGGGGCCTGACCTTCTTCAGGACAGGGCATTGTTGTGGAGAAATGAGGACTCAAAGTCACTCTGGCTAGGTATGCAACCCAGGCTCTGGCATTGAGATGAAGTGAGGGGACTTGGCGGAGCCTTGGGGGCTCCCTCTGGAGAACGGGCAGTGGTACCTTCACTGCCGGCAGCTGTGGGACTTAGAGATGAGTGGGTGTAGGGTCATGCACCCAGGAGGTGGTGACAGGCATCTCAGAGCTCCACTGCCCCATGGGGCCAGGCACCCCTCCGGCTGGAGTTCCACCCCACCCCGCAGACCACTTCTGAGTACAGATAGCCTCTAAGACCTCTGCATGTGAGCTATCACTTCGGAAGCCACAGAGCCTCTGTCCGTGACATCAGAGGAGCTGGGAAAAATGAGGCCCTGGCGAATGGAAGAGGTTTACTTCTTTCTTTTCAAATAGCAAATGTATACATATGAAAAGTTTAAAATTATATGCCAAATAAATCACAAGTAGTCATCATTCAGACAGCCTCTCATATAATGAAGCAATAATATGCAGAAAGTCAGGATGATGCAGGGAGATATAGGTCATATGTTCCCTATACAATATAGGTCTATATGTGTGTTTGTGTGTGTGTATTTCAAAGAATGATTATTTTATTTTATTTATTATTATTATACTTAATAGCAGTAGTATTTTAGTTTGACCAGAGATAGAGAGAGAAAGGGAAAGTGGAAAAGCAAACTGTCAGGTTAGGGACTCAAACCACAGTTGGGCATGTGTCCAGTGCCCTAACCATCGTACCACCTTGCGACCACATGGGGTTGATATTTTGTAATGCCCTAAGTTAGGACGGAATGTCATTCACTTTGTGGTCTGGATATTGCAGAACTGTTTCTATCATATTTGCTACTAAGAATCTTAGAATTTTTCCAGGAAAATTCCACTCCAAAGGACTTTATCAAATGTCATTTCTAACATGTGGGCAGGTGATTGTATCATCACTGCAGGAAGATGCTGGAGGTAAACAGCTAATTAATTAAAGAAAACCTCTCTTCACCCCAACTCTGAAAATGCTCTGCAATTGAGAAACAGTCACATTGTCTCTCTCTCTCTCTCTCTCTCACACACACACACACGCACACACGCACACACACACGCACACACTTTTTAAAAAATGCTTTCAGGCAACCAAATTCTCTAGCCCATCTACCTTTCTGCATCAAAGCCTACCAACCTTAAGCCCCATTACCCTCCTTCGACATCCGTATGACCACAACCCTGAGACTCCTCCAAGCAACATTTGCTCCAACTTAATATTCTGGTGCTTTTAAGAACAACATTTAAAAATAAACCATTTTGGCACATTGTCAAAGGCTTGTCTCAATTCCTTCATGACAACCACCCTAAGAGAGATTTTAAAAGCCGAAAGGAGTTGGGGGCAGGGCAGAAAGGAGTCCTCGTTTAGAGTTGTAATTTCAGACACTATGAAATAAGAATGGATCTGTTTTCCTTCCCTCTCATTGGCCCCCTTACAAGCACACAGGGCATCCTCACATCACCCCTTGACTTCTATCTGTATTTCTTTCATCCTCTCCATGGGGTCTGGTTACCTGGGTTGGTGGAGATGAGCATTTAAATCTAGGATGCCTACTGGCCCAGCACCTGGGCTGGACAATGGGAGAGGAAAGGTCGGGTGGAATAGAGGCCACAGGCAGGTCTAAAATGTAGTTCCTGGGGGCTGGCAGGTGGCATGGTGGTTGAAGTGCTGGACTCACACATGGCCAACCATGGTTCAAGTCCTGGACCTGGTGGCTTGCTTTCTCACTCTCCTTTCTCTCTGTCTGTCTCTCTCCAATTGAAATAGAATAATGATAATAAATTAAAAATAAATAAATCTTAAAATATATATATAGTTCCTGAGCCAGTTGATAGTATGGTGATTAAGGTGCTGGATCCCGCATAGCTGATTGGTTGTTCAAGTCCTGGACCCAGTGGCTTGAAAAACACACTGGATTCACGTGCCCAAAATTCTGAGAGGAGGCTGATGGAGAAAGGATTGCAGCATGGACATCCCCCTGGGGGATGATTTTGCATGTTTTATCTCTCTGTATCTCTACCTCTCTCTGATGAGCACATGCACCTTACAGCAAATTAAAAAAAAAAAAAAAAAAAAAAAAAAGAGGTAGTTAGTTCCTGGTCCTTGGGAGTAATCACTGCAAAACAATTCTATCCTCTCTGTTCCTCTCAACAGCCTGCTCTTCTTAGTCTGTTGCTAAGAGACCAGCCTGTTGTTTACAAGATCCTCGGTGGCGTAGACTTCCATAATTTATAATTTATTATCTTAGTGTCAAAACTTGTGTTGGTTTTTATTTTATTTCACCATAGATCCAATAATTGTTAGATACAACAAAGGTCACGCAGCTGCCGGTGGTGCGGTGGCTGTTCCAATCGCATCCCTCGCCACCCCTACGTTCAGGTGCCGTGGAAGAAAATGCTATTATCAACTGAAGATGAATATCATTTTTTGTCCATTAACTTCATGCATTATATGACTGCTCAGGTCAATGGATTCCCTCAAGATTTGCTCACTATTGAAAACATGTTTCTGTCCAACCAAGAAGGAAATGAATCGAAATGATTTCAATTATCACAAGAAAGGAGTGGAGTCTTCTCGCTGTACACTTCAGCACCTAATAGTTCAACTCACCAGTCTTCTCCCCACAAAGTTCAGGGCCACAGACATTTAACCAGCTCTAGAAGTGACTCCCAGGCCGTTGTCGGGCTTTGCGGGCACACAAAACCACCTCGGGAGAGAGCGCTCTCCTTACAGCAGTTCAGTGAATTCAGAAAGGAGGTGTTGATACAGAAGAAAGGGTATCTAAGTACAACAGCCCAGTCGTTCCATATAAGCCAGACGAAGAGAAACAGTCTACATAATTCGATCATTGCTAACACCTGCTGTGCCAACAGGCTAGGTGCTTAACCTGCAGGAACTTACAGGACACTCCTGACACGCCTGTGAAGACAATTCTGATAGGAGACTCATTTTACAAACACTGAAATCAAGGCTTTGTGACCTGAAGTAAGGTGTCCGTCTAGACACGGCTTGTAAGTGGTGGGGTGGAGCCTCGGTTCAGTGACTCCAGACACTTTATTCTCACAGAAGTTAAAGATACCAGCCCAGACTTTCCGGTTTACTCAGAGAAAAGTCCCACATGCATTTGGGAGAGCCAAGAAATTAACAGAGGATCCAAAATCGCATCGCCACATGATCTTTCTCTGTGGTCTTTCCAATCTCTGTTAGAAGTCACGAGGCCTGAGAAATTTCTAGGAAGGGCATTTTATTATCCGCCTCAGAGAACCTGGAAAATTCTAATGATATTTTACTCGGAATTAAACTTGTTTTTCAGAAAGCAATTATGGAAATAATCCATACTGTTGTTTTTCATCACTTGAGTCTTTTTTTTTTTTTTTAAATGGTCAGAGGGCGACTGAGCTCACCGGAGACAGAGAAAGGGAGAAGGAGTAGGAGAAAGGCCCTACTATGGGAGCACAGTCATGCTGCAATTCCTTCTTCCGTCCTTCCTCATCCTGTCGGGACCTGGGGCACACGCGTACAGACGTCTGGTGTGCTTTCAAGGCCACCGAGGGTGGGATTTGAACCACAGTTGGTCATATAATACCTAGTTCTCTTAATTAGTAGGCTGCTCGACCAACCCTTACAACTTAAGCCTTATCTGCTCCCTGGCAGGTGCCATGACCAGAAAAGGATTTCGTACAAGCTCCCAGCCCCTCTGGATGGTGTTGGCAGTCCATTCTCCACTGCTGTGATGAGGAAAGATAAATTGGCAAGCTGGAAACCATGGACCATTAACGAAGCACTCAAGGCAAGGACTTAGCCCTTTGGCAGACCTCCTGGCATTCTCTCCCACACACGGTGTTGTGGCCATTCAAAGTGATACTTGTGGACTGGAACCTGCAGCCATGCCCAAGCCATAGGGAAAGGGGACACAGTCCTGAGTTTACTTCAGGACACCACGTCTCTGAGATCAGGACTGTCCTGAGGGTGCAGGTAAGGTCAGTCATCTTTGCAGCTGCATCAGTACACGTGTGCATCTTTTAGGGTTCGGGATCAGAAGTGTGGGGTCCAATCCTCTGTCTACTATTTAGCAGCCCTGTAGATTGGGAGCAGGTCTTTTAAACACCTGCATTTCTCATTTCTTCATTTGTAATAATGGGAATGATAATATCTCCTTTGCAAAGAAGAGACAATTAAAATTGAACAATAGTTGCAACACAGAATCAGAGGGGTGTGTGTGGGGAGCTATCGCAGAAGCAACTGACATCATTACTCAAACCTCAGGGCCAGTGAAATGACTGACCAATAGTAACCTCTCATTCAGCTGTGTGGGGACCTATGGACAAGTTGTCAGCCTGCTGTGTCCCACGGCTCATGCTAGGACGGAGGTGGAAGACATAGACCCTTCCTGCCACGTGTCCCTGTCTGTCATTCACAGAGCACTGGGGACACAGACACAAAGTGACTCAGAAATTTACACTGACTTCCTTTTTTTTTTTTTTTTTGGAGAGGTTTTAGCCATAGGGCGCGTGCGCTCGCCAGACAGACAGGGAGAGACAAAGAGACAGAAAGCAAGAAATCACCCCCTAGGGGGGATGGCCACGCCACAATCACTTCTCCTCCATTCTCCTCTCGGGATCTTGGGCACACACGCACATGCGCCTGGCGTGAGTTTTAAGCCACCCGGTCTGGGACGTGAACTGTGGTCGACTATGTGGGAGTCCAGCGACATAGCCATTGCGCTAACTGCAGGTCCCACTGACTTCTTTTTTTTTAAAAAAAAGTTTTTTCCCCCTCAATAGGGTGCATGTGCTCGCCAGAAAGACAGAAAATGAGAAATCACTCCTAAGAGGGATGACCACGCCACAATCCCTTCTCCTCCATTCTCCTCTCGGGATCTTGGGCACACGTGCACATGTGCCCGGCATGAGTTTAAGCCACTGGGTTGGGGACTTGAACCACAGTCAACTCCATGGGAGCCCAGCAACATAGTCATTATGCCAACTGCTGGTCCTCTAAAATGACTTCTATGGAGACCCAGCTTGAAATGCGACCTGGAGATCTTTAAGCTCAATCTTCCTTATCTGTAAATTGGAGATTATTGCTTTGTCATCTCAAGAACTGAGAGAACTATGTCACATGTCATCTACCCCCCCAGGAGGCACTCCAAAGTATGGAAGGATAGGAGGTGAGGGTGCTCAGGTGCTCTGTGTGAACGCTATCTCTCCACTGGTTTTCTTTTTTTTCTTTTTTTTAGAGATTTTCACTGTAGGGCGCGTGCGCTCGCCAGACAGATAGAGAGAGACATAGAGACAGAAAGCGAGAAATCACCCTCCCAGGGGGGATGGTCACGCCGCAATCCCTTCTCCTCCATTCTCCTCTCGGGATCTTGGGCACGCACGCACACGCGCCCGGCGTGAGTTTTAAGCCACCGGGTCCGGGACACGAACCGCGGTCGACTACGTGGGAGTCCAGCGACATAGCCATTACGCTAATTGCTGGTTCCCTCCACTGGTTTTCAATGAGGGCTTCTAGAGGGAGAGGCACCTACTCATTAATGAAAGTAAAAGGGAATTAGAAGTCAGCCTCCTCTACCACCTGGAGGGGTCCATCAGTGCCTTCAGGCACCATCATGCTGGTGTTATGGGTCCCAACAGCCTCTGCCTCACTCCACTGACTTTCAGTTTCTCTTTTGGTCCATGTCAATTCAGCAGGTTAAAATGCTGGAAAGTAGTCAGGTCAGCCAACTGCTTTCCTAGGATCAGTCTCAACTGCAAGTGTGATAGCTGAATGAAGAAGAGAGCACCGATTTAAGGGACGAAAGAGCCCTTTGGAAACCACAAGGAGTAGGCTACAAATTGAACCCAATCATTTTTAAACTCTGATCGGGGCAAACTTTATTTTATTTTTTTTCTTCTGTTCACTTTTGTTTTCTTTTCTTAATGAGAGAGAAGGAGGGAGAAAGAGAGACAGAGTCATGTCATGTCACAATCCTCCTGCCCCAGCCTCCCAGTTAGCTGAACCCCCAGCATAACAATGGCACCGGACATGTTCATGCCGGACTTACAGTGAATCTGGGTCTCTGTTGTGACCTCAGCCACCACACAGGGCACCCTCCCCATGGCAGCGGAGGCCCAGAGGCAACCTTTCAGAGGGTAACTTCATAGTGCTGGCAGCGACATTAATTAGATGATATGGGCTGAGGTCCTGGAACCAAGATGTTAAGTAGAAGGCAGTTGCTTCCTACCAGGGACCCTGTAAAACCTGATGCTGATGAAGTTTGGGCTACTGTCCATGGTGGTGGCCTTAGAAAGTTAAATGGGAATCTGTCACTAAGATTTGGTTATAGTTCTCCCTTCTCAAATTCCTGGCTCCTAGTCAATGCCACTTCCCAGTGATTGTGCTGTTTTCCATGTAAATATCTAAATGGGTGGTAATTGTAAGAATTATCTTCACCATTGTAATCTGTTAGTCCACTAATAACAGAAAGACCTGAGTGTGAGCAATTTGCAAGGGATAGAGATTTATTTAGCTCATTTTGAAGGAACAAGGACAAGGGAACACATCTGGTGAGGGTCTTTCTGTTGCTGGGGATTGCTGCAGAGTCCTAAGGTAGGTCAAGGCACCCCCTGGAGAGAACTAGAGTAGGGCCTGCGTGTCTGTGTCCACAAGTCTATGTCTCATTTCTTCTTATAAACCCTCTAGGAGTCAATCATGGGCCTTCTCTGATTAATCCTAATCACCTCTCAAAAAGCCCTATTAATTTATTTATTTTTGAGAGACTTTTTGCTATAGAGTGTGTGCACTTGCTGGAGAGAAAGAGAGAGACACAAAGTGAGAAATCCCTGCCTGGGGGGATGGCCACACTGCAATCCTTTTGCCCCCATTCTCCTCTCAGGATTTTGGACATGCACGCAAGCACACCCAGTGTGAGTTTCAAGCTACCATGTCTGAGACTCAAACCATGGTAGGCCATGTGGGAGCTCAATGCTTTAACCACCACGCTACCTGCTGCCCCAGAAGCTTCTTTTATTTTTCCTTTATGATAGAGAGCTTGCACACATGCAAGAGAAAGAGAGCGAAAAAGAGAGAAAGAGAAGCACCTTTGACAGGGTTTCATCATGCCGTAATCCTCTTTACCCTCCAGCTCTTCAGGATTCTAGGTGGATATACATGTGTCTGGCAGCTTTTCAGGCTGACCTGGGGTTCAAACCCATAGTCAGCTGGGTGGCTTCACTAATGCAGGGCACTATGTTACTCCACCACACAGAAGTTGGGCTCAGGCCCCCACCTCATAATCCCATATTCATTTTAAGTTTTCATCCTCTTAATCTCATCACAGCCAAATTTCATCACATGAGGCACATTCAAACCACTCCACGAATATCTCCTGCCTACCTCTAATACCATCTCCCTCTTGCCATCCTAGAAAAATAGAATCTTCCACTCAGACACCCAAAATAAGCACCAAGATACGGTCAAGGAGTCCCACTCCATTCCCTGTTAATCTCCAAGGCCTACTGATCCTCTTTTTTAAATATGTCTCCCCTCCACATCATGTTGCTATCCCCTGGGCAGTTAATAAAGACATGGTTGTAGACCACGGTTCCTCACCTTCTTTATTTTAGGAAATAAAACTCAAGATACAACCCAATCTCCTCAGCACAGTCTTCTACTCCTAATACTCACATGCCCCATAACCTCTCAGGCGCCAGGTTATCAGGAACTCTTTGGATGTGCAATGTGAACTTGCTTCCTGTTCTTCACACATGCCATGCTGGACTGTGGCCCAGACTTTGCACGTTCAGCCCCTCACACTTCGCATGACTTCTTTCTCAGCAAACTCCTGTTGAGCCTTCAGCCCAAATCCTGCTTTCTCTAAGTCTCCTGGCCTTTTCTGGATGGTTAAACCAGCTATGCTTGTCTTCATCTCTGTGTCAACAAAGCCCAACCTGTCATTCACAGTGCAGTACCTAAGCCATGACAAAACACTTCACTCTAGGGACACGCCAGAGTCCTGCCTTACATGTCCCTAATGGCCTTAGATTTTGGCCTCCTTCCTGTCTCCCCCAGTGTTATTTTCAGCCTTTTCTCCAGGATTGTCTTTCTCTGCCAGCCATTAGATGTTGGTGTTCCTCGAAGTTTGCCATTAGTCATTAAACAATATCATAATGATTATTTATATTCCCTTAATGATCCATCTGCTGGCAGGCTGCATTAACCTCTAATCTGCTGGTGATTCCCAGAGCTGCATCTCCGGCCCCGCTTCTTCTTAGAGCCTAACCTTTGCATCATGTACGTGACGGCTGTCTCGAGACTCAGTTATCTCACAGAGCCTTCAGACTAATATGAGCAGACTAACTTGCTTTCATCTCTCTATAACTCTCCCCACCCTGAATCCTTATTGTAATGTCAATGTCCTCTGACTAATGGCATCAACATACACTTGATGCTTTTTGGAGAAACTCCAATGTCTTACTGATCCCTTCCTCAACATCCACCCACTCATCTGATTAAGCAGCAAGACTTACAGATTCTACCTTTCCATAGTTTCTAGACTTGTTTAATCTCTCCAACCCACCACCATTTCTCCCACTCTTTTAGTCCAGGCCAAATCATTTCTTTTCTGGACTTTGGCAACCAACTCCTAATTCATCTCCCCTCACCAGCTATTTCCCAGAAAGACCCATCCCCCAGGGTGATCTTTCTACAACACAAACTTTATCATTCCACTTTTCTATTTAAGATTTCCCAGTGGCTCCCTTGCTGGTTTGATTTGATGGTCAAAAGCTTCTGCATGATTTATGAAGATCTTGGCCTGAGTTCAGATAACTCTGGGTTTCTGTGTCTGAAATCTCTGGGCCTTGCAGCCTTATTGGGTCTTCTTAGTGCCTGTGTTGGGTTCTGTATAACCCTCCTTGTTTAACTCCCTGTCCACCATCAGACTTCAGCGTGCCTTTTATTAGAGGGTTTGCTTCTTCTATCTGTCTCTC